TAATATGTAATTTTAAATACCAGGACGTTACAATACACATAAACCAAAATGAAATTAAAATAATAACAAGTGCAGCAAATAAATACTATTATGTAGTAACGAATATACTCAAATCAAAACAAATTAAATCAAAAATTACAATATACAAGATAATTATCAGACCAGTTCTTTTGTATGCGTGTGAAACATGGCTAACAACTAAAGGAGACGAAGACAAAGTAACAATATTTTAAAGAAGAATATTTAGGCCAAAAATTAAAAATATCACCCAACAATATGAAAAAAGAAGTAATATAGAAATACAATAGTTATATAAAAAGCCAAACATAGTAGCAGCATTAAAATATAGGAGAATGACATGGGCCAGTCAATTATGGAGGTCAAATAATTTTATGAAAGCCCTTTTAAAATGGAAACCTCAGGGAAAAGACCACTTGGCAGACCAAAACAAAGGTGGATTGAAAAAGTGGAAAATAATTCAGCAGAGATTGGAGTATGAGTTGGAGAAAAGTAGGACAGATGGAAGCAAGTTTGTGTAATGGGCCTTAATAGCCTTTAATATACGAAGAAGAATTATCATTAGATAACATAATTTATTATAAACCTCATGATTTATTTAAATAATGTTAAAATCATCTATATATAAATGACCAAAAAGCATACAAGTACAATACAGGTCACAGGTGTAAGTCCCTTCTTATTGTATTGTAACTAAACATTTTAAAACGATGATGAATAACCACGTTTAAAAAACAATTCTGAGCGAAGGTCGGTGAAATACAGAATATTATACATGTATTGAATAATCTTATCTAACTTAATGCTGTAACTTAAATTCTCTTGCTACGTAAATAATAAACAAAATAACCAAAAATACTTATTATAAAATCTAAGGTTTTAACCAGTGGTTCCCAACCGGTGTGCCGCGAGCACCCTTTAAATGTGCCGCAATAAATCTATAAATTGTTTTTTAAGTATGTATTTACTAGCTTATTATTGATATTCGAGATGAAAACTGATCGAATAAATCTTAGATACATATAATATTATTTATTATAAGTATGCCCATCGCAGCCGTCTCGATCGATCGGTATGTATTAATATATTTCACAATATATAACCCTCTAATAGAATAGACTGTAAATAGTGTACATATATATATATAAAATTATGGTTCACATAATATATGGATTGGTGTGCCGCGAAAATTGTGTTGGAGATGAAGTGTGCCGCATTGTTAAAAAGATTGAAAACCACTGGTTTAAACATTCATAATTCAATAGATTGTAGGTACTCGTTTCATTTGATAAGAACCAAATGAAACCACAAATTAAGATTAATAGAATAAATGTATTATTATTTGTTATGATAATCAGTTTTGCCATATTTTAACTTTAAACCCTTAAAAGTTATTAACTGGGCCGGGACTTAATTTAATAATAGAAAACAATTCTAAGCCATATAAGATAAATTTACTTATTATATCAAGACATTAAATTAACATTCATTAAAGTTTTTTTTAAATTTTTCTTTACGGTTTAAAGTTATCTATTTAAAAAACCAACTTGATCCTAATATTATATCTATGAAGTAAACTGCTTAAAATAATTAAAAACTATTTAGGTACCGAAAAAATGAACAAAAAAATTAACTATTGTACAGTCAAGGTACTACTTTACACCACTCAAAATCTTGAATGTTGTGTTTATACTTTTACTATAAAAATAATTATAAGTAATATATTTTAAAAAACACAAATTTCAAACAAATTATATAAAAATAGGCACATAAAAATTATGTTAAATCTTTGAATCTGAGCTAAACATTTTAAACAATATATAACTTTAATGTGTAAGAAAAAAAATACCCAGACAAATAGTAAAAACAACAAAATCTTTATTAACGTATAGGAATAATATTAATTTACTTAACGAGATCAGTTTCATATAAAAATAAATAAATAAATAAATAATAAATAATGGAACTACCTATATACATTAAATCATACTACTTTACACCTAAACAGCTAATCTCTTTAGATACTTTTAGACTACGTATTTTATTATAGAAGACTTAATTTATTTAATAAATTTTAAATTATGAATAAATTGTAATTAGATTAAAATAAATATTTAGTAATTCGCGAACATCAATTATTTACTAACACTCAAATAGTACAATAAAATTACGTAATGCTTATTTTCAACTATGAATTTCACATACGAAATATTAATCAACAAAATTAAAAATAATTATATTATAAATAGTTCAAATATATAGAAAAATAAAATTTTTTGGTATTTACTCGTTAATTGATCAAGAAAAAGATCATATTAATATTTCGGCAATGATATGTGTTTAGAACAAACCATTAAATGGAAGTTATAATTATGAGTATAACTAGAATAAAAACAATATTTCTAAAAAAATAATAATATTATAATAAATTTTATAACAAGTGAAATAATTAATTTAATCATCATAATTATACTAATAATTACAACGTAATCCAAAATAGTTTATAAAATCAAATGTAAAGTAATTCTTCCATAAGTCACAGAATATAAATATATTTTTATTTAGCAATTTAATAGGAAATACATAGAAAACGCATTAATATAGAGATATTGATAGTAAAAAAAATCAATATTCTATGAAAAAAAGTATTCCTTTATTTCCTAATTCATTAGGAATTAAACCTGAATTTTAAATTGAAATACAAATAATAATAATTAATCATTACGAGTATGGAATTAAAATATATAACACTTCACAAACCTTCAATCAATATAAAATAAATACATCACATTGTTTTAAATCTAAAAGAAGAGTACGCGCGGAATATTCAATGGCATAGTTTAATTAGAATTTCCATCCAACCTTTTTAACAGTGGGCCAAATCTGAGATACGTTTTGGTATCGCGAGCCAGCAGTTTTTAGAACAGAGAGATAGGTAATGAAATTAATGAGTAGATACGATTTATATAGATTTTAGAAATATATTTATTTTTTTTATAATTCAAATTTTTTTTTTATTGAGATACAAGTAAGTTACTTAATGAAAAGTTTTGAATTGCTTATATTTTAAAATGTCTTGACATTTTGCACCAAACATTGTTGTTCCAATCAATACACTGGCTTAAGTTATTTCTATACTTAGATATGATGTATTTCATTTTTGAAAACGTCTAAATATAAATAAATACATAAATAAATACACATAAATAAGTGGAACTAAATATTAAAATCATTTTACGTACACGTTTTTCAGATATGGAATAATATTAACAAAAAGTAAATTTGGCGAGCTAGTTTAAAAAGCTTGACGGGCTGAACCGGCCCACAGATGGTTGGAGATTCTTAACCTAAACAAATATATTTTCGAATACAATTTCCTTATTTTTAGAGAGTAAAACTATATTACATGTATGATTATAAAATATAAATAAAAACTTATAAATTAATAAATGAACATTGTATTTTCACAAAATACTAATTCTATAGTACCAAATAAAATACCAGTTGAAAACAAGAAACGTAATTTACTTTTAATGCTTAAAGACTTGTCATTTTTATTTTTCAAGTTTTGAACAAATACATTTGCATTAATAAAGTACCAATCGTATGCAAATCAATAACATACCATGAACTTCTATAACCTATGTTTGTGTTGTAATGAATATGACACGCATATTATTAGCTGTAACGTATTACCTATAAAAATAAACATACAATGTACATTGACCGAAAACTATTTCCATTAAAGAGCAAAGTATTAATAAATTTATTTGTTAACTCCTTGAAATTTTTATTTAAAAAAATTAAAATATTAAAATATATATAAAGATAAATAACTATTATAAGTGTAACAAAAATAGGTAATAAAAAATTAAAAATTAGAAACCATTAGAAACTTTTATACGTATAATACAGAAATATTATTTTAATCAAATCAAAACACATCAAAATTTATATTGAAGAACTAAACAATATAAAAATTTAAAAATTAATTATTTTCATTAAGTTAGAGTCTCGGTAGTTATTGCTTTAATTAAAAATTATTACTCATTATAATTACAATAATTTACATACAATATTTGTTGAATTATGATAAACTGTGTAGGAAATTGAAATAGAAATATTTTTCAATTTTGTAATAAATGTAATAACTTTTTTTTTAACTTTTCTTCATAAAATGTCAATAAAATTATTTCGGAACGTCAAAAAAAAATCTTAAAAACTGAATAAAAATTAACTATATCATATATCTTATTAGTTAGTAAAAAAAAAAAAAAAGTTATTATCGTTTGAATAGTACATTTTTTTAAAATATAAAATACGTAGTTTTTATACATAAGTGTATTATTACAGCAATAACTCAAAATGTATAGAAAACTTAACCTTTACAGAATCAAAATTTTAAATTTGTATACTTAAGATTAGAATACAATGATAATAATAATGTATATTTATTAACGCAACTACGTCTAACAGATGATTTTATTTATCAACATATCAAATTAATCAAATAATCGATAAAAAGTAATTACTTATTTTAATTATTTAAATGTAAATATTTATTATTTTAATTATCTAAATAAAAATAACTTGAGCGGATATAGATAGGTTAGATATATTATAAATTAATATTTACATATTTTCCAGAGTTTACGTGTATTAACTTTATTTATTTGTAAATAGTATATACAAATAAATAAAGATATTGTTAGTGTATATACTATATATACTAACAATATGTTGATTTAGTCGGAGAAAAAGTAATTATTTAGATATATATATATATATGTATATATATTATTTTACTATAATCATAAAAACAATTATTAAATCAAAATGGCAATACATAATTTAAGTTCATGAATTAATAACTAATATGAAGATAACATTATTGTATGCTATCAATTTTCCTCAATAAATACATCGTGTGCCACCAGATATCGCGCTCCGTAGAAATTATATCGTACTTGTAGACTATATAGACTGTTAGTAGTAGCACGCACATCCGCTGGGCACTTACCAACTCTGTTGTCTACACACTATACTAAAGCAGTTGTAAAACACAGTCATCACAGTGTGCACGTGAAAGAGCATAAATCGTGTGAAAAATTATTTTTTACTGCTTATACATTTAACTTTAATTATGAATAATAAAGAAAATCAACATAGTGTGTCATTAGTTTTGATTTCGGCCCTCACCGCTGTAGCATTTTTATTAATCAACCTCAAATATTGTATACTTTATGTAATTCCAGTTTTGGGTATAGGATGGTTTATGATTAATTACTGGAATTTACTGATCAGAGTTTGGCAAACACTTCCAAGAGACGCAATGTAAGTATAGACAAAATATTTTAAAATAATAATTTAACAACAAAATATTCAAAGTAAATTAAACGGAAGAGGTAACATAAAATGTACAAGATTTATAATCAAATAAACCCATTAGATGTACAAAAAAACAGATTTTTATTGTAATAAGTATGAAACCTTGTATGGTTAAACTATTAAAAATGTAATTTCATATTTTCCATATATTTATACCATAGAATAAATGGAAAATTCAATAAAAAATATTTTTGACAAACGTAACTCATTACTTTATCAATAATATTCGACTACGAAATAAATACAAATTAAATATATCTGATAAATAAATTATTGTTTAATCTAATATTATGTTATTTAATTATAATTTAACCCGAGAATTATAATTCTGTAGGCATAAAAACTTAAATGTTCAATTCTTATAAAATAAATAAATAGCACGATTTAAAAGCAAAAAGTTAATATATTCTTCAGAATAATAGGTATGAAAAAGATCAAAGGTGAGTTGATTGTTATAAAAATAATCAAATTCGTAATGATTTTACAAATACATTAAATTATAACTCAAATATTTTAGGTTAAAATTTTTTGAAATATAAATAAATCTTAAACATATTTTTAAGATAATTTTTAGCAAATAATAAATCACGAATGAATAAAAATAATGAAGATTATTTTGTTATCCTTTTTGAGTAAATTATAAATATGCATAATGTAGATTCGAGAACGTTATCAATAATTCAATACGATTAAAAACTGATTAAGTTACATAATATTATTGTTTACGGTGAAACTTGTTTTGAATGTTTAACCAATAGCTATTAAATAACCACATTTTGTATTTGTTTTCATCGTATCAAATTAACTAAATAGAAACAAAAAGTATATTTTTAAAACAATATGTTCATAAGAGAATTTCGACAAAAAAAATTAATTATTGATAAAAATTAACAACCTATACCAAAAACTAAAATTAAGTTTCACATTTTTTTCTTTCTTTATTTTTACTAATAAAACTTAGTAATTTTAACTATTATTTGACAATTATTAAGGTTATACATACAAAATATTTCTATCTTAAATTAACACAACCCTTAACTGGTTTAGATAAAATATAAAAATAGGTAGGTACTATATATTTCGACTATAAAAAATAAAGATAAAATAATAACAGATTTTCTTAACCATATCTATGTATAGATTATACATCGAATTTAAGTAAAACTCCTGCCAATATTTCATAAACTTATATAACATAACACACATAATTGCAAGTAACCTCTACGGTTATGTACCCCATCAAATAAAATTTCAATACCAGTTTAAGTTACATATGTCAGAGTAAACTATATACATTTAAAATATATATAAAAAAAATTTATTTTCAAAGAATTTTCGCCTTTATATGATTTGTTTATTTATTCATTTCATAGACTATTTAAAACAACCATGATTTTTCAGATATAATTTTTATAAGTTAAGTGATTAGCCTCAGTATGTCAACGAAATTAATTGGAAAATTACGTATTTATTTAAAGTAAATAGTAGCTTTATAAAAATCAGTTAAAATAATTTAACACGATTATTTATAATTTAAAATTAAATTAATAGCTTAGATGTAATTGTTATTCGATCTTAAACAATGATAAAATATTGATAAATAATGATAAATATTCATTAATTTACACATAAATACAATGTATATTAGTTTTTACGTCATACCGAGTCAAATACACAAGTTAAAAAATCTATAAAATAATAATTATTATTGTCAAAATATTTAAATTCACAATTTCATGCTCACTTAATATGGAAACGAAGCATATGCACTGAACAATTGTAAAACATGATTAACAGAGTACTAGAGTAGTAGTATAATTCTTTAACTTGAGAAATAATTACATCAGAAATTCAAAAATGTATCAAAATTAAATAGTTTGACAATTTTATTTATTTTATTTTATTCCACAAAATGTAGTTTAACATTTAAAAAAAAACTTCAGACATTACTTTACTATTTATAAGTACTATATTACTAATATAGTACTATTTTATAAGTTCAAAAGTTCCAAAATCTTTTTATTTTATGAGATTAAAATAATTGTTAATATTATTTATTTCACCATGAATCAAAATATAATATATAATTTGATATTAAGACCAATAAATTGTAATTCTTTACGTCGAATTCAAGCTATAACGTCATATTAGTATGTTATGCTACACAACTACCTACATACCAATATTTTTACCACTTTCACTCGTAATCGTTCTTCACCATTTTAGAGTGTTGTAAAACAGCACGTACCGTTTCACTAACCTTCTACAGTTCTACAGACCATAACTATAGATAATGTTTACATCATTAATTCGTTATATTTTCAAAGTATCATATATTAAGTAAAAAAAATTATGATTGAAAAAGTAAAATAATATTTATTCAAAAATGAGAATAAGTTAAACAATAAATATTATTCCAATAATAAATCGAAAAGTGACTATGGAAGACTGATCGGGTAGTAAGCAAATTGTGACTCTTATCGCTTTGTATATAGATACTAACTGAATCAGTGGCGTATTTAGGATTTTCTGAAGGAGGGTGTTAATTGTAATTATTAAATATTATATATAATACGTACAAACTAAAACTTTTATTTTAATTAATTAATATGTATACATAATGTCTGTAATAGAGATGTAATGTATATTCGAATTCGGATAGCTTTACCATATATTATTCGAATATTTGACTATTCGAATATCAGTATTCGATGCTACAATACCTATTATTATTAAACGTTTTGTGTTGCACGAAAACGTAAACGAATAATTTTCGTCACGTATTGTCGCAATCGCGATAATGTTAACCTGTATATATGTAATTAGTATTGTGCATTATTTTATATTTCATATTGAATTATCGATTTACCTATATTCCTATAATAATGTAATACAGTGGTTCCCAACCCATGGGCCACGACCCACAAGTGAGCCGCGAGCAGTTGGTACTGGGCCGTGAACCATATTTTATTAACATTACTTACATATATTTTTAAAATATTAAATATCAGCAAGTGAAGAAGATTCGTTGATTGAACTCTAATGTGATCAGACTCTAAACTCGTTTTTTAAAACTACACCATTATTACCATTATACTTAAATATTCGGCGAGACTTTCCAGCAATTTCTAAAATTTTACTTAGAAATTTAGTGGGCTATATTTCGACAACCTGTGTGTCTTTGTGAACGAGCTTTTTCTACTTTTTAAAAAATAAATGTAGGAATAAATTGAATTTTGAGAAATTTAAGGCTAAAACTTTTCATTTTTAATCCAAATATTGATATCTCATTGGGAACAATCCAAAATTACATTAAATTGTTTAACTCTTGAATAATCTACTTCAATGAAGTTCTATTTTTTGATAAACAATTGTTTTTTAATAAATAAATTGTAATAACTAACGTATGTGCATATTATACATATATAACTATTGGTGGGTCTCAAACATTTTCTACGAAATTGGTGGTCCGCACTACTAAAAAGGTTGGTAACCGCTGATGTAATATATGATACGACTCATATCTACCAAACACCCCCCTTGTATACGCCACTGAACTGAATCAAAACAGTATGTCTACACAGATTATTGGTCACATCACTAATTTTATACCTAGATATTTCACATTTTTATTTATTAGCATAATATAAACATATGAGAATTGAGTATTCTTAATACTAAAATTAATCAAAACTAAATCGATACACCCATCAAAAAATGTCTTAAATTATGTAAAATTCGAATCATAAAATATTGTCTATAGATAAAATTTCCTAACGTTCATATTAAACTTATAAATATATTCCAAAATATTGTTTACCGAAAATATTTTTCACAAAAAATAACAAAATTCAATTATGTTGTTAAAAAAACATAAAACTCAATTCTCGGATGGTCACCCCTTACCCATCCAAGAGAACAAGTGAACGAAGGTGTTACTCCGGAGCTGGCAATCGACGACTGATCAACTATTGCCACGTCATTCTACTATCATCTTTGAAAACGAATTAATTATAATTATTATTTAGTTATTGTTTTTAAATACTCTTAATAAGATATAATAATAAGATAAAACGAATAAATAATAACAATAATTCTACTTTATAAATACATTTCATTGTTTATTAAAATAAAATTTGTATTCTTACAAATCTTAACTCAATGAATTCAGAAACTTAAAAAATCAACGTAACTCAATGATGTTATCGAGGGTCTTACCAACTCAAATCTTATAATACTTTAAGGGAACTAATTTTTTTAAATATATTCTTTGTTAATTAATTCTTAAACCATTACTTAAGATGATATACTAAAATAAGGTTACAAAAAAATTATTATGTATTATAATTTGTGCACGTATCTGTTTGTTCATGACTTGGCGTACTTTTTAAAATAATAATGACCTTATCATAGTTAAATTCAATGTAAGTGTCACCTAGTTAAGATGAGTGCAAGAATAACATAAATTCATTTTAAATACTATCTAAATTATATTATTAATATTTCTACATATATTTATTATTCACCTTCTTATAATAATAATAAGATTTAGAATAATATACTATTATAAATATTGGTATATTCTAAATTAATTAATGAATAAAAATATCACGTTTCTTGCTGTGTTAATTAACATTAAATACGTAAAATATTATTTTTTGTTTATATTATATAATATACAAATGTAGAGCCATAGTAAAGACATGTTTTGTAAGTTATCAGGGATAACTTATCACTTTTCACTGTTCTTACAATTTTGGATGTACACATTACACAAATAGACATTTAGACAAATAATAAATCACCACAACTTAAAAATGTTAGTAAATATTTTTTTCGAAGAAAATAATTTATCATTATATTACGTATTCATTTGTCTGCACATACATGCTCGTATTACGTACTTCGGCATTTTGATAATATTGACCAACAAATACAATATTCATAATGCGAGTTGTTTTTATATATTTCTGGATTGTTAAAAAAATCACTTGTTATTAGTTGTAATCCACGTATGGTTAAAATTGGCATTAAACTATTTTTTTTTTTTTTTTTAAAAGTTATAGTAAATTAAATTAATAATAAAATTTAATAAATTATAAGTCTAAACCAAGTAGTTAAATTTTTTTTTTTTTTACAGAATTATGAAAGTTTGTATTTTTAAGGATATCAAAAATCATAAATTTGGTATTTTTGAAGAATATTTAAAGAATTTATTTCGTTTTTTAAACGATATATTTTAAGGATTTTAAGAGAATATTAATCCAACCTCTACTGATAATATATAATTCAATAAGTATGACTGTATTCTAATTATTAAAAAAAAACTTTAGGGAAGGTTATTTAATTCTTGATCTATGATAGTGCGTAATTTTCCCAGGGCGTGAAAATTCCTTGTTCCACTTTGCTTATCTTATAATTTCAGCGGAAATACTATTATATATTATATTATTAAATATGCTACATAGCGTTATAGGGAGTCATCGGCTGTTCAATTATTAGACTAGCTACCTTATTATATTTTGTTATGTCTATTTAACAATCAAGGACAATATTCGCACGGCTTTGAGTTATACAGAGTGATTTGATGGTTTATCAATAATAAATAAAACAGAGAAACATATTACATACGAGCATGTGAACAGTGTTGTATTCATTATTAACAATCATTATTATATAACATTTTTAAACGTATAAAATAAAATATAAATATAAATGCTATTTTAAGTAAGAGTACATATGAATGTATAAAATATATACATGCACACTAATATTAACTATTTCAGATGAATATTATGAGAAAATTATTTTTCTAGAGTGAATTACCTATTAAAAAAAGTATTGTTTATTTAAATTATAATAAAAGATAAAATTAATCTAATCAACAAGGGAACATTTAAGTATTACGTGAGTATATTTTTTAGTATATTTGACTCCCTTCCTCCCTCCATGTTAATGTACGTCGGACAGGGACTATTCCCCCCCCCCTTATCTATCTTACATCAACGTCATTCATAGCACCCATAAATTATTTTATTCAAATTAATAAAATAAATTTCTGCAATTCAGTATCAAAATAAATATAATAATAAGAATAATAAGATGACACGTGTTCGCTGCTGTCGGTAATTCAACAACTTTTGCTTTTTTCGCGCGTTAATTTTAATTTTGATAAATATAATGCTCACATCTGATTTTAAATTTAGCTCCCTAAAGTACACTTAGATTTCTCGATATCTTTCACACATGTTCTGCCGATGTAATTCTTGAATGCTCCTCAAGTTGTATACTAGTATTATAAAATTAGTTGTTAAGAATTACATTATAATTTAAAAAATTAAATATTTTATTTAATTTGTAGTTATGAAATCCTTCATTATTAAAGGACCATATATGAGGGTAGCTGAGTGAGTTATAGTCCCAATATTAAACAATGAATATGCATCTATTATTTTCTATATATATATATATATATATATATATATATATAGGTTCTTAAGAAAAAACTAGATAGCTTACTTTTTCATTATAACTCAATAATTAAATTTGATAATGTAAATAATAGTCTATAGTTGAAAGAAATGCATATTTAAACCATAATCTGTATTGATTATAATGTAAATATGTAATTTATTTATGTCTAATAAGCACAAGAACTTGTTTGAATGTAATATTCAACCTGACTTCATTTATAATTTGTCAATAAGATAATAATAAACTTATACATTATAGACAATAATAAAAATTCTTTTTTTCCAGATTAATCAAAAACTATATTATATATTTCATTAAGATAAGGAGATGGAATTTATTAGGATACAACACGTATGCTAAAATTTTCCAAAGAATTGTTTTAAAACAGCCTAATAAAATAGCATTTAAGCATGAAGATTCTTCATGGAGGTATATAGAGGTAAGTATCATTATGATTACAAATATAATAACTTATAGCAAATAAATTAATTCAAATATAACTGTGTAATTAGTTTAAATGAAATGATAAATTAATACAATAAATCCCAATACAACTTTAAGTGGTAGACATCAAAAGGATCTACATAAATCATAAAAATATATTTCAAAATTTTAATATTATCATTACTAATTTGTAATAGTTAATTAAATACCAAACCCAAAGTCTACATAGCAAATTAACTGTAAAACATACCACATTAAAAAATAATATAGGTATCACTATTATAAGATAATATTACATTTATTTCTATTGAATATAAATTCATAGGACACACAATATCAAATTGAGATGAATAAACTACACATGTACACCTTCTTACATTTTTTATAAACATTTTAACTATTCTAAAAATAAAAGTTTAATATGATTTAATTTTCTTAATAGTATTTTTGGAAAATTGCATTTTAGTTAATAAATTATATTAAGTACATGTCTTTAAACAATTTAAAACACTGAAGACAATTTAATAGTTACATTAAGTCTATTCAATAATACCTTTTACAATATTATAGTATAATTATTGGCTTGATGAGTAGGTGTTTCTAAAGCTTTATAGTATACATATTTTTATATTTAATTTACTTAAATATGTCATATTATTTCAAGCTACATCAATGATTTAAATAATATTATATAGGAATTATCAATCTTAGATGATTATTATTTTTAAATTTAATCCCAACTACTCTTTCTTAATAACACACTTTGATCTATCAATCAAATATTATTATAAAAAAAAAAAATAATGTTAAATACACAAAAATAAATAAAATTTAATAAATTAATAAATTATAATATAGTAATGATTTTCAACTTTCAAGGTAGAAGAACGCAGCAATCAAATTGCCAATTATTTTAAACAACAAGGTTTTAAACGAGGTGATGTAATAGCTTTGTTTATGGAAAGTAGCCCAGAGTATGTGTGCCTTTGGTTTGGTTTATCAAAAATTGGTGTTATCTCAGCTCTAATTAACAATAATTTACAAGCTGAAACATTGGTACATTCCATAAAAGTATCTAACTGTACAGCAATTATAATCGGCAAAGAACAAATCAATGGTAAGTATACATATATTGTATTAATATACTTGAGAACATCATATAATGAAATATTTAGACTATACAATTTACATATGAGCTAAAAAAATTCAGAAAATGATAACCATTGAAAAGTTTGAATTTGATATTACAAAAAAAAAAAGAAGGAAAACACTAACAAAAATAACCTAATAATAAATTATAATATCATAGTAAAATTGAAGTATATTTAATGTATTGTACTTAAAATTAAATTTTATTTTTTGTCTCAGATAATTAACTATTTCAAAAATAAGGTCCATGAAAATAAACAAGCAGTCAATAACTTAAATTAAAATATTAGTTATGTTAAAAATGTAGAATTGTGGTTTAAAAATACTTTAAACATTAAACCTGGGAAATAAACTTAAACATAGACTGTGTAATGCTAATGCAGTTTATAATATATAATAGTTACAAAAACAAATATTTTAGTATTAATGAACAAATGTTTTGAAATATAACAATAAAACTTGTTACTTACATTATAGATTAAGTTGAATTAAGTTCTTCCGATGAATTGTTATCAAATTAATAGTTATTTAAAATAATTATAAAAAGCAAAAAATTATAACCATAAGAAATCGAAATTTGAACTTAATTCATAATACTATATAAAAGATAAGTAATAACTAATAGTATAAGAGCAACGAATTTATTACATGATCACGAAGTTCATAAATAAAACTACTTCTATAAAACAATATTACTTTTGTTGTTTATTCAATGTAGTGACTAGCGATAAAGAATTCGCGGTAATTTTTATCATTTAAAATTATTTTTGATAAGAAAAAATTACAAACATAAATTAAAAATAATTATAATATTATCATTTATCAAATATAAATCTGTACTTACCACCACAAATTAAAGGAACGTTTAAGTACAATAATGCCCATGCGTCTTAAATATCTATGGTGCATCGACTTTTTTTAAAATTGAGAAGAACATAATATTTTTATCAAGCAATTGATTATTGCACTGTTGATGAATGTTCTTCAATATTATAGTTTTTTCCTTTTTAATTATTCATAAAAAGCTTCAACTATATATTATTCATACATCTAATAAGTAAATTTAGTAAACCTAACATATGTAAGTCAATATTTCATTTATTAATGATTTTTTTTTTTTTAGAATATTATTGTAGGTATATATGAAGGGTACAGGGAAAAAACCAGAAAAGTCACTTTTTATTTATTTCGAGAAAAACGTGTTTTTAATTTCAAAACCTAATAATTTTTGCCTGTATGCCAAAACTTTCGGTGGTCATAACTCACGACTAATCTGCTTTTTTCCCAGATTCGACTTCTTGAATTATAGAATACGTCAATACAAATAATTTGATACCAAAATAACCATTATGGAAAAAAAGTGACTTTTCTGGTTTTTTCCCTGTACCCTTCATATAATTTAAACAATTTATATTGCAGTGAAAAACTAGTTAGAGTTGATACATACTTATATTAATATTAAACTGTATAACTTGCTTATCAATTGAATACCATATTCAAAATCTAAATGTTCAATTAGTAATGTTTTTATTTTTTTTTTTTAAATATACTATCTACTTTCGTAAATATTGAATTTTAAAAAATATAATTTTTCACCAATTATATTTTTTATTATATAAATATTTAATACACAGTTGACATGAAAAAGTAATTTTACAAAATAAATAATAATTATGAACACTACTAGACTTTCTAGTATTTTACTACAGATTTCAGACTTCAGTAATTCAGGAGAAATAACGAGAATATAAAATTTATATAATACTATATATATTTGATTTTGTTGAATAGTCATGGTATTTTGTAGAGTATAACCTATATATATTATAGTATTTTCTCGAGTACCTTATGCTATTATTTTTCCTGAAATATAAGGTGTTCTTTGCTGATATTTAATTAATAATAAAAATAAACCAGTGTGAATAAGTAGTTTTAAAATTTATTTGAAACAATTAAATATTTTTTATACCTATGATATAATAGTTAGAAGCTACAATATACCTACCATATGATTAATTATTTATCAACACAAAAAATATTTGTTCAATAATTACTTGTTAAAAGTTTAAACTCATTTTCATACTTAGCACAAATAAAATAAACTAAAATAATTTCATTTACATCATTGCAAACATGGTCTAAAATTTTAAAATATTTTACTTTTACTTCTCATTATTAACTAATATTTTTTTGAAGTTAATGAATATGAATGCTTTAATGAATCTTATTAAGTTTTAATAATACATACATTTGTTACTTTCTTTAGCATTGATGAACATTGTTAATACAACTGTTGATGATAAATTAAAAGTTCTATTCGCTTCGTCCAATGTGTACATATCGAATTACACTAATGACACTACTTTAACTAATACGCAATTAAATAATGCAACTAACTTAAATGAAAAACTAAAAGAAGTATCAAAAAATGCTCCTGTTAAAGAAATTTCAGAAGGTAAATCTAGTGACCAAATGTTATACATTTATACATCAGGGACTACAGGTATGCCAAAGGCTGCTATTATGACCCAATCAAGGTAAAAATAAAATATTTTTATATAAATTCTAATGTTAAAAACTATGAATGTAAAAAAAAAAATCTTATACCAAAATTATGTTATATTTAGTCAATTTTATAACAAACTCACTTGAAGCTAACTTATTCCAGGGCAATATATATGGCAATGGGAGCCAAACAAATTGCTGGTATATATGAACATGACATTATATATACTCCATTACCATTGTATCATACTGCTGGTGGTATATTGGGTGTTAGTTCAGTTCTTTTAGGAGGTGCTACTTGTGTTATAAGATCAAAATTTTCAGCATCTAAATACTGGACAGATTGTCTTAAGTATGAATGTACAGTAAGTAAAATATGTATGATAATTGTATAACTACTTCAGTAATAACTATTTTACATTCAGGGCCGGATTTAGGGGGTTGTAAATTTGAAAAAAATAAGCATTTTCTGCAAGTGTTTGGTGAGGATAAGGAAGTAAGATTAGGTTGGGTTTATAAGTAAAATATTTAAATTACAAAATAAACGGTTTAACTTCTATTTCATATTATGATACCACAAAAAAAATATTAGACTATTGAGAAATCGAAGTAGCAAGGTTATTGATATTTTAAAGTTGAACAGTACGTCACACAACTTTTCATATTGTCATATTATTATTCTTATCAATTATAGTACAAATAATATTGATATTTCATATCAATCAGCCGTTTCACGTGTTCAAGATAAACAATTTGTTTTCCTACGTTAAATTTGTAAAAATCTCAGAAAAATTTCGGGGGGGGGGTTCAACCCCTAAACCCCACCACTAGTTGCGCCACTAAGTGTGAAATCAGTAAAAATGAATAAAAATATCAAAAAATGACTTAAAAAATAATAAACACCAAAAAATGCAAAATTAAAATTAGTTATTCGGATTCACATGCTAATAAAACACATTTGGGCCAGGAGAGCATTGTTTAAAAAGTTCCAAAAATAAAAATGTAAAATGCAACAACTTCCTAGCCCTAGTTATCATTAATATTTAATAACTAATAATATATTTATATATTATAATTGCATACAAATTAGTAATGAGTTAACAAGTATAAATTAAAATTTTATTTTCGATACTTATGTTATTATGTTATTATCTTGTAGACTTATAGACATTTTAATTAAAAATAGTTATAAATTAACACATATTTTAACTTGTATAGCAAGCCACCTGGCCACTGTTGTAGATATATACGTGCCGCATAAGTTCTAAATAAAAACATGTGATAACGCAGAGAAAGATGTAATTTGTACATTGATGCGTTAGACCGTAGAGGTAGACTTAGGTACACTTAAGTCTTCAATCATACGTCCATACAGTATTAGAAGCTTTACTAGAAATTTCAAATAATCTAAATCAAGAAGATGTTATTAAAATCAAATTTAAAAAACTTAATGAATCCATATGTGCTCTTGAAGTGGCATTTTATACAATTTTTTGGAATGATATTTTAGAGAGGTTCGATTTAACGAGCAATCTTTTACAAGAACCGAAAATAATTCTTCAAACTGCTGTAAATTCCTTAAATTTTCTTTTGTCATTTATTCAAGAAATACGAATTAAATATGAAGAGAAGGTACTAAAAAAAGGAAAAGTAAGGTCAGGATTAAAATATTATGTGCCAATTCGTTATCAAAAAAGAAATGTAAGGCTTGTAAAGTTTGCTCGCGTTAAATATCGCGTCAACTGTCCGGCCGCCAACCCGCTCGCAAAATCGCGTTCACCTAGGACACACTGTTAGTTCATTAGATAATAATCAAGCAGCCTCAATTCAGTTATCACCAAAAGTAAAATTTAGATCAGAAAGTTTTATTTCATTAATTGATCAATTGGTAGTATCATTAACCCAAAATATAACTGCTTACGAAAAAATTTGTCAACGTTTTAGTTTTTAAATAAATTTGAAAAACTAGAAACGTCTGAGCTACGATCTGCTGCAAATTACGTTGTTAGCATATACCCCAATGATTTAGTAATGATTGGTAATGAATTGATACAGTTCAGTTTATTTATCTATATATATATATATATATTAGGGTGGTCCTTATTTTTCGAATTGAAAAATTTGATGAGGAGTACCCCAAATTTTGTTCTAAGTATTAAAAAAATAATTATGATAAAGTTTGAACGTGATAAATCTACCCCTTCCCGTGCCTCAAAGGGGTTGAAGTTTTTGTAATTGGAGATGAATTTTCATTTTTAAAGTGTACTCTCTTAAATATTGAGGTTATGCATAAAACCTAAAGTTTTTTTTATTGTTTAGTTATTGTAGCTACATATATTTATTAAATAAAAGTTTCTTATAAATATGTTGTAAGATTGATGGTTTCCTGTTAATTAAAAAAAAACTGAATGTTTAACAAAACTAATTATCATTTATCAGCTAAGACTTTTTTTCAACAATTTTAAATAACTTATCAATATTTAAGTTTGTAATCAACAGATGACATTGTTTTTCAGTACTATTATAATAATATTATAATACATGCTAATATTTTACACAATTAAGTAGTATGGCTTTTTGCTCTACCATGTAACGATGCAGTTCAAACAATTAATGTATAAAGGTTTTAAATACTAATACTATTAGTGCGACTACTCCCTCATGATGTCAAGTCTTGTGTATACATTGGAAAGTGTTGCTACAACAATCACAAATTGAACTCAAATCTACTTCAATGACAGGGACGATTCCTCTTAATTTTTGTAAATAAATAATTCTAATTTTGTTTTGATGATATATTAGTATTTTTGGTGACGGTATATCGATACATTGATATTTGTCCTCCGATAATAAAATATTTAGACTATGTATTTTTAGACAATAGGACAATAGAACCACAAACATATATCTTTGACAATAACACTTATTATATTTTTATCTACATGTCATAGCCATATATCTTATAATAAATTTAATAGGCGATTAATAGAAATAGAACATAATATTAAATTGCCATTATCAATAAATCTGTCGGTTTGTTTAGACGTTCAGTTGTGTCATAAGTTTGTGCAACTTTTTTACACAAAGTGTTATACGTTTCTTTTTTTTTTAGTTTTTACGTTTGATTTAAAAATGCCCCGTCAATATATTTTTCTTTTAGGTAATATGGTCAATCAAATTACTGGAAATAAATTACTTTCCAATGGAGACTACCTTCGGGTATTATTTTATAACATGCGCGTTGTAAATTTAAATTTAAATGATAGTTCGGGCCTTGTTGCTGATGAATGCTTATTGTTTTGGAAAAAAGCAAGAATTTCTACTTAATATCATTGTGATATAGTTCGAAAAATAAGTTGGCGAAGTTTAGATAAAAATAAAACAAAAAAGTCTGCAACACAACAGTACAATGAAAAAAAAATTCAAAACTCATTAAATAATTTGTTTGATATTGCCCACAAAGATACTTTCAATATAATTAAAATTAAAAAATACAGGCAGTTTTTAACATTATAAAGACAAGAAGGTCATGTTGGGTATATGACAGGTGTGGAAAAAAAATTATGTGCAATTGAAGAACGAAGATCTGAACGAGAGCAAAGGAGAGAATTGTTTAAGCTAACAAATATCGATTATGGAACCGGGTAAATTAATTTTGTAATTTAAAAAAAAAAAAATTATCTAATGATAATAACAATAATTTACTCAATATATAATTTAAAATTTACTATATCTATTATTTTATTTGTATCATTATATTTTTCTTTGCCCATCTAACAGTGTTAATGTTGAAGAAAGTATATCAAGCGGTGATGAACGTAATGTGCTTAACTCTAAAGATTCCGAAATGTGTGAAAGTATTACAATGCCAGTAAAAAATAAACGAGGTAGGGAAGAAATTATGACTAGTCGTCTAGCATCAGCTTTAGACAAACGTAAGGTTAGTGACAGGGATGCAGTTCACTAATTAATAGTATAGTGCCGAGGTATTTAATGTAGATATAAATGACTATGCAATAAATCACTCTTCGATTAAAAGAACTTGTGAAAGTTTTTGTTACTAAATATCTTCCGAAATTAGAACAGCATTCCATCAATTAAACTTAAATTCTGTAGTTGTTCACTGGGACTCAAAAATACTTCCTAATTTGATAGGAACAATAAATGTAAACAGATTACCAGTTATTATAACAGCACCAAACGAAGAACAACTTCTTGGAGTACCACATTTGTCATCTAGTACTAGAAAGGAAATTTCTTCTGCAGTGTATGACACATTAGAAAAAGAGATTAGAAAAAGTGCAAGCGTTTGTTTTTGATACCACAGCATGCAATAGCGGCAGATTAAATAGAATATGTATGCTATTAGAACAATATTTGTTAACATTTAATTTTAAACAGGCTAATACTGTTTTTAGCTTATCGGCATCACATGTTTGAAATTATTTTGCAATCAGTTTTCTTATACTCAAAACTTACAATAATGTCCGGTCCCGAAATTTCTATTTTTAAACTTTTAAAAAATAACTGGAAACTAACTAAAAAATAACTGGAATCAAATAGATCAAACTAAATTTAGTACTTGGGTAAGTGATAATGGGGTAAAAAAAATATTGCATAAAATAGCCGATGATGTTATATTATTTTGTAAAGATGCTTTAAACCAAAATCTGCCAAGGGATGATTACGAAGAATTTTTGGAATTGGTAATAATTTTTTTGGATGGCGTACCACCTAAAGGTACCTATTAATTTTAAACGTCCAGGAACTTATCTAGCTAGATGGATGTGTAAAGGAATATATTATTTAAAAATATTCATATTTCAAGAACAATTTAAAATGACAAGAGCAGAAATTTCTTTATTGAAAACTATGTTGTTTTATTGTAAAATACTATATAGAGTTTTGGTTTAGGTCTCCTAATGTCATTGAAGCCCCTTATAATTATGTAATTTTTTAAGAAAACTTGAAGACTATAAATCCGATGATAAGCAAGTGGCTGAGATCGCTATAAAATATGTATTAATCATTTATGGTATCTTAGAGAAGAAACCTCTTGTTTTTTGATATTTGATGACAGGATTGATAATCTGATAATCTGTAAAATAACAAATAGCTAAAAAACTATTAGAAAATTACGATCATGAGGATGACGAATTTAACACAGAAATTCAAAAAAAATATTTATTAAAAATTGACGACGTCTCACAATTTCTAAAACAAGACTTACCACTTGAATTATTGACGCCTAAATTGAAAAATATATTCCGAAGGTTCCAATTAAGCATGGAGTTCTTACATCAAAATCCGGAAAATCGGCCAAATATCTATAGTTATATAAAGGCCAACAATATTTTACACCATTTGAGCGTCATAAATTATGCAGTCAAACATGGAGTCAAATTGATGGAACATTTTAATACAAAATTTACAAACAATGAAAATCAAAAGCAGTATGTATTGAAGGTAAGTTATATGTTAATAATTAATTAAGATAACTAGTGTCACTTAAGATTTTTTTTAGGTAATACAAGAATACCGTAAAAAATATCCAAGTTGTAATAAAGACATGTTAACAAAGGATTCAACAGAATAGTAAAATTATTATATTTCTGTCTTTTTTTTTTTTTTTATGTAATTTTTTTAAATCAAATAATAACATAATAAAAATGTTATTTATCTATTTTATATAAATATATTATTAATTATTTATATTTGAAAAATTGTCAAGAAACCTTTTTAATACAGCATATTATGTTCTATAACAAAATGTGTGTATGATTTTTAGGTAACTTTAAAATTTAAGAGATTAGAAGACAAAAACTTAAAACTTATAACATTTCCTAAAACATTAAATTGGACCAGTTTTTTTTAAATAAACGGATAACCATCAACCTCACAACATATTTATAAGAAACGTTTATTTAGTAAATATATATACTATAATAATAGTAGGTACTTAAAGTTTTTTGCATAACATTAATATTTAAGAGAGTAAACGCAAAAAATGGTAATTCATTCCCAATTAATAAAACTTCAACCCTTTTGAAGCACGGGAAGAGGTAGAATTATCACGCTCAAACTTTATCATAATTATTTTTTTAATACATAGAACAAAATGTGGGGTATTCGTCATCAAATTTAAAAAAAATATTGACTTCTGTAGCTAAGGACCACCCTAATATATAATATATATTATCTATATATTATATAGAAACACGTAAAAATAATGAGCAATGGGAAATATTTTTACATAGAATTATTGAAGAAAATGTGGTGTCCAGCTGTAGCGGGGAACGATAATTTTCAAAAATGAAGTTTATAAAAAACCTACTACAAACTTCAATGACACAAAGTCGACTGTCAGGCCTTGCGCTGTTTATTTGACTTACTACGATCATTGAATTTTTCACAAGTTGTTGAAAAATTTGCGCCGACAAAATTTCGCAAAGTTATCATATAATAACAATTATTCATTAAGTTCTATATTTATATTATAATGACAATTGGCAGTACCTATTATAATCTAATAAATGTAATTTACTACCTTTATTGTTTCATCACAACAAATCATTGTTTTTTTCTAATCAAAATTCGGATTATTTTGAATTTTGGCTATAAATATGTTTAATCGAAAAAAAAATCTACTTCTAAGGGTGGGCCTAGGGCCCCCACGTTCCTAAATCCGGCCCTGATTACATGAGTATATTCTCTTATTTATATTTGTATTTTAGGTTGCACAATATATAGGTGAAATGTGTCGTTATTGTTTAGCTTCACCTCCATCATATGCTGACAATGCTCATCAGGTTCGAATGGTTATTGGAAATGGTCTTCGACCTCAGATATGGGAAGATTTTACCAGGCGTTTTAATATACAGAAAGTAGCAGAATTTTATGGAGCTACAGAAGGAAATGCCAATATGAGTAAAAAACAAGTCTTATATAAATCATTTAAATTATATACAAGTATACTTTTAGTCTAAATAATTAATCATTTTATATTAATAATGACGGCTTTAAGATTATTATAATTTTACATTTTTAGCCTAAAAATTTTAGGTAGGTACCTACTTATTTGTTATCTCCAGTAGGTATAAAAATTATCTCCTCGCCACTCTTGTTTGTTATCGCTCCGCCATATAGGTTACATTATATTATTACGCTATTCCTACAATTATCGTGTTTGTTTTAACTGGTGATAGATGATCTATTTTATCTAATTTAATAAATTATTTACGCTGTCGTATGCAAAATAAATAATAATTATCTTCGTGAGTGTATGGAAGTTAGAAAATAATCAAAATAAAGAAATTGAAAGCCCCGGTCTTTTGTCGAAATAGATGAAAGTTTATTTGTGCGTAGAAAAAATTATGCTGGACGTATTCTGCTACAGCATTGGATTTTCGGTGGACTATATAGGGAAACCAACGCGTGTTATACATTTAGTGTACCTGATCGATCGGAGAAAACATTATTACATTTAACACAAAAATATATAAATCCAGGCTCAATAATTATATCAGATTGTTGGAAAGCTTTAATTATTTGCAGCAAATTCCAATATAATACTGTTAACCACAACTACAATTTTGTTGATCCGTACACAGGGGCACACACCCAAAATATTGAGAAGTTAAGGGGTTCTGCAAAGTGAGGAAATAAAAAGTGTAGTGAAACCAATAGAAATTTTCTGGAATTGTATTTAACAGAATTTATGAGGAGAACACGTCTTGAGGAGCATTTGAAACTACTACATTTTTAAACGATATTTCTGAGTTCTGGCCTCCTTTGTAATTTAACATATTTTTTTATAATTTATAATTATAATACATTTTTAAAATTTTAATTTTATACATAAATAATATTAAATTTTGAAAAAGTATTTATATTTATTGTATTGTTTATTTTATTTACGGCGGGGCTATAACAAACAAGAGTGGCAGGGAGATACATTTTATACGGTGGAGCGATAACAAACAAGTAGGTAACCATTTTTATTATTAGGAATTTGTTTTTTAAAAAGCTTATTTATATTTTTTTAACGTACTTCAAAAACAAAAATGCATTTAAAATAAAATGAAGTCTTATGTACAAAGTAGATCTAAATGTTTAGTAAATTTAAATAATTTATTCATAAACATACTTGTAGAAAATGTAAATATTATAATTAAGCTATTTGAAACCAATTCATAAATTGCAAATAATATCATACCTTACATTCTTACATTGACTTCTTACATAGGATCACTTTAAACATTTAATGTTAGTGAATTTTTTTTTTTAGTAAATGCAACAAATAAAGTGGGAGCAGTAGGATTTATTCCATTCATTGGAGAACCATTTTATCCTGTCACTTTAATTCGTGTAGAACCAGATACTAATGAACCAATCCGAGGAGCAAATCATCTTTGTATTAAATGTGAAGTTGGTAAGTTGTTAATTAAAATTTGATTAATTTTATTGTTTTCATATTTAAAACACATTTATCATGTTTCTAATTTAACATAAAAAAAATTAAAAACACAATTTACTTACCTAAATAGGAGAACCTGGATTATTGGTTGGGAAAATAATAAAAACAACAGAAAATTCTTTTAGTGGTTATGTAGAAAAATCTGCGTCTGAAAAAAAAATCATCAGAAACGTTTTTCACAAAGGAGATCAAGCATTTAATTCTGGTAATGTTTTTGTATACATTTATAATTTTATTTTATTAAATATACATTTTTGACTTAGGTGATGTATTGATTCGTGATGAACACAACTTTTTTTACTTTAAAGACCGTACTGGAGATACGTTCAGGTATATTACAATCATGATAAAATAAATATTTTTTTAAAGTGCCTATTTAAATTTCTCTTATCTTTATATTATAAAATTGATTTTAATGTACCTAATAAATAATAATTAATATGTTTTAAATCAATAAAATGTCCATAAAAGATTTTCCTAATCTTATTCTTATTAATAATAATTTAATAACTATTGTAACTATTATACTAGCTTCTGAATGATTATTAACTTCAATCAGTTATATTTTATCTAAAACTTGTATATTTAATCTTAGACATTTGTACAACTCATTATACTAGAATCATTAATTTTAATCTCACATTACTGAATACTAATTTAAATTGAATTACACAATATTTATAAAAATATATGTCAAATACCTCAACAAATATTTTTCTAAAATATTATGCAAGCTGAGTTAATTTATTTAATTTATATCTTTCTAAAATATTTTTATTTGATGATAAAAGTAAATTTTAAAAAATAACATAATATAGTAAGTAAATGTTTTATAACCGATATTTAAACTCAACATATGTTAGGTTAATTTATAACTCGTAAAAGTTGGTTCCCAACCTTTAATAACTAATAGTTTAATTAACTATTAGTTATTAATAAAAAATTATTAGTTTTTGAAGATTTATATCTGTTAAATGAATTAGGTGGAAAGGTGAGAATGTTTCTACATCGGAAGTTGAAGCGGCTATCAGTAATATAGTGAAATTAAAAGACTGCATAGTTTATGGAGTAGAGGTAGTATAATACATAAAAAAAAAAAATAATTAAAATGTTCCTGATTTAATAATTGATTGACTTAACTTAGGTACCGAACACAGAAGGTAAAGCTGGTATGGCTTCCATTGTTGATGAAGCAGGAGACTTGGATTTTGATAAATTATGTGCTGGTATCAACAAGCAGTTACCAGCCTATGCACGACCATTATTTTTAAGAGTTATTAAAACACCTGTATCACTCACTGGTAAGTGTTTACTTACATGTAAGTTTCATGGTGATATTTAATGTAATATGGATCATAACTTTCAGGTACATTCAAAATGAAAAAAAATGATATTCAAAATGAAGGATATGATCTTACAAAGGTGGGCAACGATTCATTATACTTCAATGAAGGAAGCAAATTTGTACCTCTTTCTCAAGAATTACATGAAAAAATCACAAACGGAATAATAAGATTATGAATTACTCTATACAATTTTTTTTCTGACCATTGTACATATTGGTTCGCAAGGGATTTTTAATGTAATCAAATTGTTGTTTACTTATTCACATATGGTGATTTACATTGTATAATGTTTAAAAGAAAAACCAAAGACTTGACATTTTTTTTAGGATTAAAGAAGTGTTTCCTTTTTGTACATCAACTAAACATTAAGTTTTTTGTTATAATATTTGATCATTGTTTTAAAATTTTTTAATAAAAGTTTATGTTACTTTTATTCAATTTTTATATAAAAGAGCTACTTTATAAAATTGATTGAATTATAATTTTGAATAGCTAAACCCACTTAAAATTTATATAAAACGTGATAGACTACAATAAACTAACTAAAAAAATTAAAGACGAAACACAATATATTTAATTTATTATATGTTAACGTAAATTAAACCAATAAAATTGTAATACAAATGTTTATTATTTGAATAGTAATATTTCAATTAACTAGATACACTTTTAGTAGCTACTCTAAAGTAAAAATAAAACACAGTTGGAAGTAGTTTAACATATTTATATTTTAAATTAGTTCTATTGTAATTATATATTATTATAGATTACTCATTACATTTAAATGTGGGTTTTATAAATATTACAGTGTTACTAATTATTAATTTCTAATACATTTATATTTTAAGATATTACACACATTTTTTTTCCCTGACAATTTAGACATAATATCTCTACATTTCACACAATATTTATCTATTTATCTATGATTAAAAAAAAAAAAAAAAAAAATATTTTGAAACACAAATATTTAAGTACAAAACATTAAGCTCTTTTGGATTTATTCAATGAATATATCCTAATGCAATGTAATTCATACCTAGACTTCAAAATATATAATTTAATTGAGTAAACATTGCAAACCATTTGATAATTTATACACACAAAATAAATTATTGTTATTATTTTAGTCAATCAAATATCTTAATGAACATCATTATGTTTATTAAGATGTTTATTTATGTATGTTAAACAACAGTATGTGCTACATTAATAAATATTGCATCTAGTGGTCATATAAAAAACTTATGTTTACAAAAATAATATCAAAAAAGTTCAATTTTTCAAAGTTTTTGACCATAAGGGACTAATTTAATATTTAATATATTATTATACTATAATTGATGATTTCAATTATTTAAAGTAATACGTTATTATGTAACATATTTAGCTTAGGAATGTTAATATTAAAATTAATTTGATCTATGGTTATCCAACAGTTCCTTGTTTATTTTAAAAGCAATATTATATATCATAAATCTCATACTCAAAAGTAATAACTTGCAGTCTATGTTTACATAATTTTTTCTCTATGTCATACAATTACAATAAGGTAGACAAATCAAAGACATTCAAATGCTTAAAAAATCTAATTCATTAGCTGTTTAGGTTACAACTCAAATTTACTGCAACTATTGTACTTATTCTCTATATGCACAATTTAATAGTAATATATTATTTTTAATGGTTATAATTTTATTTTATTTAATTTTTAGATTCAAAAACTTAATCATTGTTGATACTATTACTTAAGACATACATACATACAAGTAAGACAAATTATTTTAACTGATTAATATATACAAAAATAAGTAAATATTACCGAGTATAAATTAAGCAATTCACACTATACAAAATTATACATACTACAATTTCTTTATAAGTATTACATATGATTTTTTTTGTAGTTCTGTTGTATAAATTATATCATAATATTTAATATGTATATAAATAATTATCATAATTATGTAAAACCAAGACATAAAATAAACTTATTCGTAATAAATATGAGTTTTTTCATAATAATACCATCATATGATTCATTAGTTCAATAGTTCATTTATAATTACACCAAAATACAATATTAGTCACTAACACAAACATATTTTATTATTTTTTTATCATTTAATTATTAAAAAAAATTAAATGGATCTAAGACTTAATTCTTAATACATAAAAGTAAGTTATCTCAGACATTATTCAAATTGTAATTTGTAAATGACAACATAAATATTAACTACTTTAAGAATAAATTTAAAGTATGGCAAATAACACCACTACTATCTAAGAAGCACAATTTCAAAGGAGAGCGATTACATACATTTTAATTTTTCTACACTATGAATATTTAATACTAGAATACATTTGTTTTAATAATCAGATAAACAATATTCTTTTCTACTGAGAACTCATAAAATAGTATATTTTAAGATACTTCTTTCAATCCAATACAATTACAAATCTTCAAATAAATAATATAGTGTACTTTTATATATTTTTTAATTAATTAAATGTTATACCACTTAAATATAAACTACAAGTATAAAATTATGTTAAGTTAATTAGTTAAAATATTTTTTTTTTATAACTATAAAAAATAGTACAGAAAATGAACACAAATAGGTAACAAAAAAAGAAAAAATTAAAAAAAAACCTATTGCAAAAATAATTCATCAAATATTTTTAAATTTTTACAATTAAGACACATAATGCACAAATAAATAATAATATTAAACTGTAACTACTTATTTTCTTATATATCTTCTATTAGATTATAATTTTAATTATTATAAATAAAAATATCAAGATGCTTACAAAATATGAACAAATAAAAAATATAAATAAACAATAATTATTTAAATTACAGAGATTTGTAATTCTTAACTAGATGAAATCATTAATTAGTTTAATATTTTCAATTTTTATTGTTTTATTTCAAATCTTTAGTAGTAATTTACAAATGTCATCAAATAACAAAAAATGTATTTAAAAAATTTGTAAATATAATTGAAAGTTAGATCGATATATATGCATATATAAATACATTTTACAATACATGCAATGCATAATAGAAAACAATGTTTTATTAATTAAATTACCTATTTTAATAAATAATTTCAGTTACTCACACAGAGAGTACGTTTGCTATGAACAAATGCCTTACACAAAAAGAAGTTAACATACATCTTAAGCAAACCAATCATTTTAACTCAATGATAAACCTAATTATAAAGCTGAAAATTAAAATAAATTCAATAAAAAGAATACTTATAATTTTAATAATACATGTGATATTAAATACAATAATAAAATAAAATATATTTTGGAATTAAAATTAATAAAAAGGCCAATAATTTAAATATTTTCAATGTAATTTCTCAAAGATATTTGCAACATAGGCATTGAATATAGTTATTATGAAAAAGAATTATTACATGAACGCATGTTATAACTCACAAAAATAAATTCAAAATTGAGTTAAATAATTATTAAATAGTATTGTAATAAATGTAATGAATACGCCAGTTAAATTAATATACTGAAGTATAATACTAAGTCTATTCAATAAACTAAGATACTTAATGATAAAAATAATTATTTATAAATTGAATCATAAAGTAATTCATGTCATTTTCGTGATAGGTAATTTTTTTTAAATAATCAAACTAAACAGAAAACATACATGGAAACACAATTGCACATTTAATTTCAACCAAATATTTGAAATACACAATTAATTTTATTTTATTTTATATTGAATATTTAAATTAACTGATTAGCAATAATAGTCATATGTATTAAGGTTATACAATATAAATTAATTGTATTATGTATCATACTTATCATGGATTTCTCTGCCTTAGACGTTTGTGGATATAGTAACATTGATTCCTAAATTACCATTATCTGCAAAGAGCTGTGCTGTACTTGTATCAAATACTAAGCAGTCCGAATTTAAAATTGCTGTTGAAACTCCTTCGTGTATGCTTCTTGGAGTTGCTTCCCAAGCTAAACGTCTCCGATGTCCATTAAGTTCTAGCCTGTAAGCAAAATTATCACACTGCTTCCGGCTGCCAATCAACTGTACAATAGCAAAAAATTGTTGATGACCTTCATATTTTTCTTGTTTTTCTAGTACCAGCATAAAATGATGACCAAAACATGATTGCATCATAACCCAATCTACTGCTCCAGGAAGATTTATATCTGTCGCTAGAAAAACTATATCTTCTCCTTGTAATGTTGTTATTGATTTATGAGCTACCATTAAATGTTCCATTACTTGTTCTAATGCACCTTGCCATTTACATGAAGCACCTGGGCATGGACAAGTATATGGACGACATTCACATAATTCTTCATGTTCAACTTTTTCAGAATGCAACAATGATACTGGGCAACCTGAAGATGAATATTTGCAAGGAAACATGACCGTTGAAGCAACTTTTTCCATAGCTAAATTGCGTATGTTTCCAAGAGGACCACGGCATGTTGGGCAACAATTAAGTTTTGGTCGACATGTACTACAAACTAAATGACCACTTTGACATTGTAATATTGGAGGTAAAACATAATCAAAACATACAGGGCACTCAAATAATGATGCTAAATCTGCTGATATAGATGTAGAATTTGAAGTAGAACCACCAACATTATGAGAATTATTATTACCAACAGCACTTCTACGCTTGGTTCCACCACCTCCACCACCACCACTCGGTAATAAAACACTAACAGTGCCAACACTAGCAGTTGGATTACCGATTGATGTCCCACCACTATTTGATCCACCGGATCCGCTCATTCTTGTTTCTTGCTCAGACACTAAATGGTGGTTAAACTCCACAAGACCACTGTTATTGGAGGCTGAGGTGTTTTCTGCCATGTAAAGTTAACAAATATACATGAGCGTATTTAATCAAGACTATGGTATTGTAACACATAAAAACTTAACTGACATAGGCAAACCAAATTAGTCTTGTGTTGCATTAAAGTTGTCAGAAAATAAATTATAGTATACACGATGAAACAACAAGAGTGCATGCGAAATCCATAACGCTTTCCATTTTTCAATCTTGAGAAAAAATAAATTAAAATAACATACGAACTACGATTAACACGTCCAGCTTTTCATCACACGCCGCACTTACGGCGTTAATTTTTCAATTAACCGTCGATCGTGAGTGTTATTCCTTTATTTCGCGATGAACTTCAACTCAGCAATTGAATATCCGGCATCCTGTGAATGGACTCAAAAACAAATGAACCGACCGAATAATTCGCATGAGCCACGACGTTAATAGATTAACGGCGATGCTATTACGATTTTGATGTATATTACGGTAACTAAGAATCGCAAGACGTTATTGATAAACCAACTACAAAGGCAAGACCGAATGTCCGTACGGCTAACACTGCAATGGAAAATTTTTATGTTGTATTGCCCATGACAATCATTTTATCTATTTGCATTTTCATGTTGAAACGATAACGACATTGTACAAGGAGATTACGTGAATACAGTGTGACCGACACACGGTCGTAACAAAACTCATATGATTTTTTCAACAATAAAGTACAGTACTAATTTCGAAAAGAAAGGGCGTATTTATTAATGTGCGTACGACTATTGTTTTCCGATCACAAATACAGTGGGTAAATCGATAAAAAATAAATAATTATAATATTGATTGATTGTAGAATGATCGATGATTGGTTTGGTTATAATCGCACTTCTGCATTATCATTATATTTAATTTATTTTATTGAACGTTTTTTCGTTTAAATTGAATATTTGAAATTCCTTAAAAGTAAATATTTTATCCTCATTTTATTTTATTAGATTGAATTTCTTCATTTTAGCTAAAAATATAAAAATTTTATAGATTGAAGTAACAAGTAGGGTTGTCTTTTAATTTAATATTTTTATCGCTCACAGACAGGCGTGCACAAACACTGTTGACAGGTGGTGCATACCTTATTTTTTACATTCATCCTTCATCGTTTTCAAACCAAAATAATTCGTTGTTTTTTAACAAGATTTTACTTTATTAATAAATTCAGTCTTCGCATTTCAACACTTGTCATTTGCGTGATTAGTTTCAGTTACTCGACTTTTAATTCAAAATAGTCACTTATTGAGAAGGGTGCAGAAAACCTGAGGTTATAACTTTCATAATAGTAATTAGTTGGGTAGGTATCTGCTTTTGTAAAAAACAGTAAAAAATCAACGTCAATCATTATCGGTGTCCGACGGTAGATACAAGCATTGATTATATACATAGGCGTGCGCAGACTTTTCCACAGGGGAGTCCCCTTAAACAAAGTGAACCAATGATTCTTGTACTAAAGACTACTAGTATAATTAAATATTTTAAATTTTATAAATTATTTATTTCATTCAATATCCAAATATAAAAATAAATACTATTTAAACTTACACAATTTATATCTAAAAAATCCTTATTTACATATTATTATACTATTTACAACTCCATCCTTCTGTCCATGGGAGTAAGGTTTTTAAATGTATTAATTACATCTTCAATTTTTATATTATTTGCAAGTTCTGATTAGTCTGATTAATAACTAATAACTTTTACTTACATTTATTCACAAATATCAATTCTATACTATGAGATTAAAACTGGCTTTACTTTATTCATGTAAAATGTAAAAATGTTCGGTATCTTGTATAGTATAGACAGAGCCCAATTTTGGAAATATGGGTCCGAGGCAATATAATCTTAGGAGCCTTTAATATTTGTTTAATGTAATTTAAAAATTACAGTCAACATTAAAATAACATTATTGCATTAGTGAACAAAAGTTTTATTTACAGACCAAAAATTAATTGTTAATACTCGTATTATATTTAAAAAAAATTATTATGTACCGGTAAAAATGAAAAATATTAATATTTATTAATGTTTACTAAATTACATAACTAAAAATTTAAATCAATGGTTTCTTTCGAGATTTTAGTTCACTAAACTTCTGAATTAGATCTGAAAAATCTAATGTTTTGTTCTAATGTCTAATTTTGAGGAGTAATTATTGGTAAATTTAACTGTATTACATAATTTGAAAAGTGCACAATTTTTTGTTTTATATTAGTTTTAAAACCAATTTAAAATCACGAGTCACAACACACAACAGAATACTAACTAACGTACCGATTGTATTAACGATTTAAAACTAACCAACAAAATGTATATAATAGAAAATACCTTAACGATTTGGTAGAGGTAAACAGTAGACTATATAGTGTATACCCGCGTTTAGATAAACTGAGTGTTCGCAAAAACCCAAGATATTTTTAAATAATGCGCGACTTACAACTGTTGCGATTCGTGTTATCTTACAAGTGTTTAAACTTGGCCTATAGGTTAGGTTGATGATTAGGTGACAGGCTGGGTAAATATAAATGGTAAAGTGTTTTTGGCCAAATTTATCTCAAAATTGAATAGCTTTATTTTATCGTTTAGATAATAATTTTAAATTCCATTACGAAACATGACTAATTTGTTTTGTGAATGTTAAACGAAAGAAATATCTAAAAATTTTACAATACCACTTAAATATTTAATTGTCAACAGAAGCCCGGGACCCCAAATAATACCGGGGCCCGGGGCTGTAGTCCCCCTAGCCCCCCTCTAAGTTGGGCTCTGAGTATAGATATACATTTATTAAAAGAAAAGTCAGAGTCCGCAGGGAGGGCCGCGGTCCACCCGACCCCCACCGTGCGCACGCCTATGATTATATATACTATAGATTGCTCACTGCAACAAAATACGCTGTGCGTTAAATGACGGGTGACGTTACGAGTCGCTCTGCGCGATATCTAGTTATGGTGGAAGCCGTCGTAATCGCTAGTAGTCACAATTAGCCGAAGAAACACCTCAAATTTTAAAAGCCACACAATAACGACAAAAAACCATTCGACAAAACAATCTGCATAATCCGACAAATTTCTATCTGACAAAAAACTATTTTAAAATGCTACCAACTTAACGTCCATATCAAGGGCGTATTTGAGTTGAGGCCGAGGGGTGAGGGAATTAATTTTTTTTCAACATTAACTTAAATATAATTTACAATTCATTATCTACGGCTCATTTTTCAATTATAATGATGATATATTATAATGATAGACTAGTAATTTTTATTTTTAATTATTTATACATTACATTTTTTAAGTAAATCAATGTATTATATTCAACAAAAATACGAACCATGGGGAGGATAAATGCCCCTTCCTCCCCCCTCAAATACGCCTTTGGTCCATATTGATACGATAATCTAATTTGATTATTTAATGATGATAATGTAACATCTAGAAGTTGATAAATGTAATTTTGTATTTTTCTCTCTGATGAAAATTGATGCCCTTCACTATTACCTTGAAGTAATTTCTAAGGATTTTTTTTTATTTCCAGTTAATTTGGCTTTTTCAGTTTTAGCTCACTAGATTTTACTGAAACTTGTTCCCATAAGTTACTTAATCCAGTATCTCTTAGTTATTGAATAGATATGATAATGTTTTAAATTTTTAATTGTGCGTTAAATACACGCTATAAATATCCAATATTCTAATAGGTGCCCAGCCCCCTCATAATAATTTCAATGTCAGTCTTAGCCCCCAGGCATCCATGTACATGGCGCCTATTCTCAGCCAGATATGCAGCTAATTCGAAAAAAATTGACAATGCTTAATGTAAAATAATACAAAAGATGCCGTCCAATGTGATTGAAGTTCATGAAATACTACGTAATGGAGTAATTGTTATTGAAGAAAAAGAAAATCCTGAAATGATTATCATTTTATATTCAAGAAAAAAATAAAATATTCCTCAGACCATTGACATGTATTTATGTGGACGGTATATATAATTACTATTCGACATTTTTCTATTAAATGTTTATTATACACATTTAAAAGTTTTTAATTATATAAATGAAAAATGCTTGTTCCTTCAACTCGAATATTCATCGAAATATATTTATGCCAACTTTTAAAAAGCCAATTACAAAGCTTCATGTCAAGTATGGCCAACAGCTGATATCAAAGGATGCAGATTTTACCTAATATACACATGGTGAAGTATAGACAGGACCGGCGAAAGCTATGGGCGACCTGGGCGATTGCCTAGAGCGCCAGCGAGAAAGGGGCATCAAACTGACATTTTATTTTTCTAATTTATCTTTTAATACGTATTAACAACCTACAGAAAGTAAGAAAATTACAGTAAGTAAATAAAACAGTTGTGCCTTCTACTTCAATACTGCATCGATACCGCTGGATTTGATGTAAAAATAATGCATGTAACAATACTGCATTTCACCACATTTGTGTGTGTAAATAAAATATATATTTAGTTCGTAAAAATTATTTTCATAAAATATTTACCCATTTATAAATAGATTTATATAACTATATACGTAAAAATCGTTCGGACCTTATGGCGAAAATACCGCAATGTGGCATAAATCAAAAAGACACATTTGCTTGAAACGCACGCATAATTTATTGTTTTCGACGAGCTCTCACTACGTACGAGCTTCTGTTTAATGTGAAATATGTATACTAACAAGTTCAGTCAACAGGTAATAAATATTCATATTTTTCGTTTAATTAATTTGTACATAATATTTTGGTTTCTTATTAATCATTTACAATGAAGTCCGTTCTCTGGTTGTCTTAATAAATAAGTAATTAATGAAACACAGTATTCATATATTATAGGCAGTGACAGCATGATGTAATATATTCTTCGAAAAAACTTTCAAGAATTAAAAAAAAATCCTAAGCTCAAAATTAGAACTATTATATTCTTGCAACGAAAAAAAAACCTGTCCAAAAATGCACTGATATAATATTAATTTATATTACTAAATACATACTAATTTTATTTAAATTCACTAAAAAACATAATTTTACTACTATTCAAAATAAGTGGGTTGGTGAGGGGAGGTTTAAAGGCGCCAAAACATGGTTTCGCCCAGGGCGCCAATACTTCTAGCGCCGGCCCTGAGCATAGAATTATAAATTAAATATTTTTATTTGTTTAATCATGTTGATTGAAGGTTGTGTATTATTCATCATTGTAATACACCTACAACATATAACACATTGTTGTAAAGCCAATATGTTTTTCGCTTTATCCTGAACTTAAAATGTGTTGTGATAGTATGTAAGTGCGGAGCCTTACATTGGTTGTTTTAAGTTAACGGTTTCGGGTAGGAGAATCGTAGTTTCTCTTAGAATTATAATCCTAGTTGCAACTCGTGCTGAAGCGCTATAGTGAAATATTGTCTAATCGGATTTCACGTAAACATTGTTTACACATGTTGTGATCCGTTGCGCTTTCTGTATGCGGGTGCCATGATATCGATCAGTGACAACTTCAAAGTACGTTTGAAAACGCAATACTTCATATTTTAATTGTTTGAACACTCGCGTT